TCGGTATCTTTTTGGGAACTCTAAATAAAATTGCTAGCATACCTCAGCTATATTATGTGTTTGGTTCCAGACGACTGCAATAAAGCAGATATTGCAATGAAGTAATTCAAATGAATTTTTTGTTTCCCAGTGCATATAAAAGTTATGTTTATACTACAGTGTAGTGTGTAATAACATTATGTCAAAAAAACAATGTATAGACCTTCACTTAACAAATACTCTGTTGCTAAAAAATACTAACCTTTTAGCGAGTCATAATCTTTTTGCTGGTGGAGGGTCTTAACCTTGATGTTGAGGGCTGCTGACTGACTGTTCAGAGTGCTGGTTGCTGAAGGCTGGGGTGGCTGGGGCAGTTTCTTAAAATAAGACAACAATGAAGTTTTGCCGCATCTATGGACTCTTCCTCTCATGAATGATTTCTCTGTTGCATGCGATGCTGTTTGATAGCATTTTACCCACAATAGAACTTCTTTCAGAATTGGAGTCAAACCTCTCAAACCCTGCCACTGCTTTGTCAGCTAAGTTTGTGTCATCTTCTAAGTCCTTTGTTGTCATTTCAGCAATCTTCACAGCATCTTCACTAGGAGTAGTGGATTCCATCTCTGGAAACCACTTTCTTTGCTCCTCCATAGAAGCAATTCCTCATCTGCTCAAGTTTTCTCATGAGATTGCCGCAATTCACTCCCATCTTCAGGCTCTACTTCTAATTCTAGTTAGTTCTCTTGCTGTTTTCACCACTTCTGCAGTTACTTCCCCCACTGAGCCCCTCAGAGTCATCCTTGAGGGTTGGACTCAACTTCTTCCAAACTTTTGTTAATGTTGATACTGTGTTGTATCTCCATTGCAGCTAGCCTTTTAGAAATTTGTCAAGTTATGGTCGAATCAAAGGCAAATATTTATAATTATCTGGAACAATGATTAAAATACTCCTTCATTTTCTAACTACATATCTCTGTGAGGCCAGAGTTTCTTCATATACTTGAATCAAAACAACATGTCGTGACAGATTCAGCCAGAAGCATATTTGAGAATTCAGTTGTCTAATATTAAGACATTGAAGAGATTATGAACATGTCAAACATTACTTCTTTTGTCACTAATTTTCTTTTGTTTTGGGAAATGTAGTTATTTTTCATTAAAATACGTTATGCTAACATTTATTGGGTTTACTGTGGTTACTTTTAAATGAATAAATATTTTTTAATTTCTTAGTTTTAATTTCTCGTATGGTAAATATCAGTAGATGCAGCCCATATAAAGCAAAGCTTCTTGGGGTCCTCGGTAATGGTTTTAAGAGCGTAAAGGGGTCCTGCGATTAAAAAGATTGAGACCTTAATGTCATAGAATATTTGAGCATTTGTGTTAGTAGGCAGCATGGAGGCAACCAAAGCATTACTACATTATGGCCTTGCTCAGTCCTCGCCAGCAGAGTGATGTCCCTGACTAGTTGAAGAAATGTTTATTTTCTGTGGGTTTTTTTTTTTTTTTTTTTTTTTTTTTTTTTTTTTTTATCGTTTAAGAAATCAAGAAAGCGAATATTTTCATTTTCAAGGTTTCTATCAAAAATGATTTGAACTTCGGGGCACCTCGGTGGCTCAGTCGATTAAGCTTCTGACTGCTCTCACTGTTCCTGGGTTCGAGCCCCATGTCGGGCTCTGTGCTGACAGCTCAGGGCCTGGAGCCTGTTTCGGATTCTGTGTCTCCCTGTCTGTCTGTCCCTTCCCCGCTTGCACTCTGTCACTCTCTCTCAAAAACAAATAAATATTTTTAAAAACTTTTTTTAAGTGATTCAAACTTCTTAGGATACTTTCAGCTCCAAATAACAGCATATCTGACTCAGCTGGTTTAAATGATAAGTTATAATTTCACCTCACTGAAAGATTGCAGATAGGGCAGGCTCCAGAGTTGTTGGTTGGGGAGCTTCATAAGATCCTGAACCAGTTTCTTTCCATCTCTCTGTGCTCCCATCCTCAGTGAAGCCTCATCCTCAGACTGGCAGCAAGATGGCTACAGCAAACAGGTCCACCTTCAGACGTGATAGTGCCAGAGGGAGAAGAGCGACATCTTCCCTATGTCTCCTCCTTAGAGGCAGGGGGTCCCAGGACTCCTTAGCAGACTTCTGATGCCTCAATGGCCAGGATGGGGTCACATCCAGTCCTTAACTGTGTCCCTGCCAAGGATTATGGGCTTACTGTGACTGGCTTAAAAATAATCATTTTGTGGGACCCAGATATGAGGAAATCATCCACAGTGATTTGGTTATTAAAAACAAAACAAAAAGTCCTGTGTGCCTATTCAGTTAACTGGAAATTCATTTGTACAGCTAGCTGCCCAGTAAGAGAGGCAGCATGAATCTTTAGCAAGTGTCCGGAGCCCAAGACCCAGAAGCACTGTGGTCTGGTCCTGCATGTGGCACTGGTCGGCTCTGACTCCCCTACGGCCATACTTCCTTGTCTGTAAAAGGAGGGCTCAGACTACAGCTCTAGTTCTGAGACCCTCTGGTTCACTGGTTTCTTCATTCACTCTCACTCTTTCATTCAATAGTATTTATAGAGTGCTTACTCCCTTATGAAAGTCACAGGGAAGGGTACAGATACACACTATGATGCTGCCCGTTTAACCACAACCATCTGTTCTTCCTCCTGTGCTACATAACACACCGAAAGCCCAAAGGGGAGTAAGATCCAAACTGGTTTTTCCCTCATAGAATAAATTGTTTAATTCCCTTGGCAAAGAGCCCTTGCCACGAGGCTCATTAACGAATAGTGACATCACAAGAGTTCTCTCTCACCTTCTTAAAATGTAAAATTTTTCCAGAGATGAGACCATAGAGCCACAATTCTGTTCTGACCAAGATGGGTCTTTGTCTCGGAGAAGATGTTCCTGGGCCTGGCTGGCTGTGACTGCCGCGGTTCCCTCAGCACCGGGAAGGCTGTGATGCGGAGAAGCAGGCTGTTAAGACAACAGAAGGACAGTCATGAGAAATGAGGCCGTGTTCTCTGAATACTCAAGGGCACTCTCACGTTTGATTTTTCAGATAAGATGTCAGAAAGGTTTTGCTGTTTTAAAACCAAGTTGCTCAAATTTTGCAGGCCTTTCTCAGGTGCTGTGTTGGTTCATTTTTCATGTCACATAAAGTGTTATCTCGGAGAGGAGAAGTAGGACTCATGTGGTCCCTCCCTCAAGTAATATTTGAGTCACTGTCAGGTGAAGCAGGGCTTTTTTAAGTTGCTTTAGGGACCAACATAAGTGAAACAGAGAGGGAGGAAGATTTAGGGTCACTGAAGAGAAAATCCTTCCAACACATAGTGCTGTCAGCAAAGACATGTAAACATTCCATTATGGAAAATCGTGAGTTCTCCCATTACTGAGAGTACCCAAGCAGAGGCTGGATATACCCTCTGTCAGCAGTGTTGTGAAGAGGTTCTTCATTTGATCTGAGTGTGGACACGATGATTTGGAAGGAAGGTCATCTCTTAAATTCTGTAATTGTTACCATAGCCGTGAGACATCTGATGGCTTGAAATCGTTAGCAGTTTGAAACAGAAAGCAGGGGATTCATTTACTCACCAAGTATTTATGAAGCATCTACCATGTGTCAGGCACTGTTCTAGACACTGGAGACACAGTAAAGAACAAGACTGACAAGACACTCGGGGCACTTGTGTTCTAGGGGAGGCAGACAAGCGCTGAATTAATACGAGAATAAAGAAGACCATTTCCTATTAAGATACGTGCTCTGAGGAACACACAGGGTGATGGGAGAGAAGGATTGGGGCAGGTAAGGGTGGGAATCTGTTTTAAATTAGGTTTTGAGGCAAAGTCTCTTTGAGAAGTTACCATGTGAGCTAAGACAGAAGGCAGAGGAGGCGTCTGCCCTGAGATGACTGGGGAAGAGCGTTTGAAGCAGAGACCTGCCTGGAAGAGCAGGATGGGAACAAGCTTGGCAGGTTTGAGAAGCGAGCAGAAGGCTGAGTGAGAGGCCCAGAGGGACGCATGTGGGGTGGAGTGGGCCTGGGTAGGGGCCAGATCTCACAGGACCTCCCCCAGGAGCTTAGCGTTACCCTATCCAGTGGGAAGCCCCTGCAGGGCTTTCGGTTGAATGGCATGCTCCGGTTCATGTCTGTAGAAGATGACTGTGCATACTTTCTGGGGGGTGAATCGTAGGGGGCAAGGATGCAAGCAAAGAGGAGAAAAGGAAACTCCAGAGAAATGTGGTTTCACAGAAGCCAAGAGAAGAAAATGTCTCAAGAAGGAAAGAGTGGGCAGTAGTGTTGAAGACTGAGAAGTCAGCAGGAAAGTACCTGATGGCTTTGATGAACAACTGTTTATGGGTGGCAGCTTTATAAACCCATTTAGAGTGAGTTTAGGGGAAAATGGGGAGTAAGAGGACACGGGGAATAGAACCCATTCTTTCAGAAAATGCTGGAAAAGAGTGCAAAGAATAGGAACGTATCCGGAGGGAAATAGGAAATCAAGGGACTGTTTCTAAGGTCAGGTTTTTCCAGCAACTTCTTTGTGCTGAGGGAAGGGCATCGACAGAGAGGCAGATGTTAGGGATGCTAGACAAGGAGTGGGCTGTTGCAGAAGAGAGATCCTCGAAAGGACGCTGTGAATTGTTTTATGAAATTGAATTATTGAATTTCCATAATTGAATTATGGAAATGCATAATTTCATTATCTTTGATATTGATTAGTTTATTGTGATATTCTTGTGTTAGGTTGAACCATATGAAATTACCAGCATTCACACATTTTTGACCTACAAAAGCAGCACCATTATATAATTCTACCTACAGCAGAATTAGGATTTTCTCCCTTAGACACTTGAATTTCTGTCATTGGTTTTTATAATTCATGTACATTTTTAATGTGGAAACAACCTCAAACTTACCTAAAAGTTGCAATTAAAGAAGAACATCCTCTCTTCCCAAACCATTTGAAAGTAAGTTTCAGACCTGATGTTCTCTCTCTCTCTGTCTCTCTCTCTCTCTCTCTAGCATTTGAGTGGGTATTTCCTGGAAATAAGAAGAACATTCTCCATCAAAATCACAATGCAATCTAGTAAAATCAGGAAATCAACATCAGTGCATTGCTACCAACGAATCCTCTAACCTCATTCAGGTTTTTGCCATTTGTCCCAATAACGTCCTTAATCACAAAAGGGTCTAGTTCAGTGCCGCCCATTGTATTTAGTTGTCACTTTAATCTCTCCTGCTCTGGAACAGTTCCCTATTCTTCCTTGATTTTCATCTCCTTGCCCATGGATTTGGGTCTGTCATGATGATCTTCAGATTATGAGCCTTCAGCAGTGTGGTAGCCAGCCTTCAAATTGGGCCCCACCTCCTGTTATTCCCACCCTCATGCAGTCTCCTCCCACGTGATACCACAGTTGATCTTTGTGACCCAGAGCTTATAGTAGAAGTGAATAAATTATGAAGTGATCCTGTTGCATCACTTGCTCTGTGGGAAGCCAGCTTCCATGTCATGAGCAGTTCTATGGATAGGCCAGCATGTCAACTGAAGCACCTAGCCAACAGCCAGTGAGAAACCGAGGACTGCCAACAATGTTGAATGAGCTTGGAAGTGGATTCTCCAGCCCTAGTTAAACCTTGGGTTGACTGTCATCTTGGATGACTACTTCACTTCAATCTTGTTCAAGACCTTAAACCAGAATCACCTAATTAAGCCACTCCCAGATCCCTGACCCCCAGAAACTGTGACATAGTGGATGTTTGTTGGCTTAAGGTACAAAATGAATATACACAGGAAGTGATGGTGGGTTCTTTCCATTGCATCCTAACAGATGGCACACAATTTCAATTTGTCCCATTACTGATGATCTTTAGTTCCATCCCTTGGTTAAAAGAGGTATCTTTTGGACTTCTCCCCTGTGAAGTTGCTCTTTTTCCTTTTAATTGATGAATATATTTGTGGAAGATACTTTCAAAGTATGTACACTTCCCATTCTTTATCAAACTTACAATACAACTTTTTCAGTTATTTCTCTCAGTGTGAGATTGCAGCTTCCTAGTTTATTCATTGGGGAATAATCTGTTACACTCATTATTTATTTTGATGCTCAAGTTGTCCCAAATTTCACCTGAGCCCCTTCAACCTGGCTCCTGTGTTCTTTTGACATGTCCTCATCATTCTTTGAACACTTCCCTTGATTTTGGGCACAAAATGTTCTAAGCTCATCATGTTCTTTGCCTGCCCCAGCCCTGAAAGCAGTCATTTCTCCAAGGATCCCTGGTTCTTTTTAGTGGAAAATGGTATTAAAGCCAAGGTCTGGGCACTAAGTGTGTCTGTTGCTGGTGGGGGTGTTGCTGCTCCCAGGCCCACTCAAAAGACATGCACACATTTACCTATGTATCTATGTAAATATGTATAGACATATATGTATAAATACAGACTGCACAAATATACATATGTGCATATATAAGCATATAGTACATATGTTTTTATGTATTAATCCAAATGCATATATTTGTAAATATAGTAAATTTAAATATACATATATTTAAATCTGTAAGTTCATACTGATATCTCTAATCGTAGGGTATCCAGGGTTTCTATCTTTCTTCTCCCTTTCCATGTTAGTGACTTCTTTCTTCAGTAGTGAGAAACTTTGCTTTTGTTACCCTTATTATATTTACTTATTTGATTAATCCCCTGATATCAGCCTTCCATCACCATTGCATTGCACCCCTCTCCCCACATGGATGCCCTCCATTCAGGCTCTGACTTCCATCTCAGAGGCACCCACCTTCATGAATACCCTCCTCATCCCCTTGGGCCCCCGGCCACCCCTCCACGTGGATACCCACACCTGCCTCTCCCTGCCCAGGCCCTGACATACTACCTCAGGCTGCCCCTGCACATGGATGCCCTCCTCACCCACTCAGGCCTTAACTTCCCTCTGTCTGTCCTCTGTAGGGACTTACCCTGCTTGGGCTCTGATTACCCTCTCCAAGCTGTCCCTCCCAGTGTGGGTGCCCTCTTTATGCCGCATGGGTTCAGACACCCCCCAGGCTGTTACAGGCTGCCTCTTCTTGCTCTGCCCCCTCTAATGGCTGTAAGGCTGACTTGTTCAACAGGGGAGGAAGGGGAAGAGCGGGGCTTTATGATTTTATAAAAGATGTCAGCTGAAAGGGCCATTCTGTTCTCCCACAGCTGAATTGTGAATTTCTTCTGTAGTAGTGGGTTCTAAATTTCTGATGACACCAGAATATCTTGGGGAACTTGTTGAAATACAAATCCCCAAGAAAACAAAAGACAACAATCAAAACAGGGAGCAACCAAAATGTCCCTAGAAAATGGTTAAATGACTATAGGGAGGCATTGGACTTTTAGTTACTCTTTAAATTTTCTGCATACATACTCCTATTTACATTAATAATACTAACAGACTATGGGCCATGCTTTATAATTTTGTATATTAAAAACATAATTAGCACTATTATTATTTTTAAAAGATAAAAATTTCAGAATTTAAGACCCTGTTGGTAGAGATTCTGAGTCAGTACAACTGGGCTATGGCCTGAAAATCTATACTTTATGTAAAGTTCTCCATCTGAATGTAGTGATCAGCCAGGTTGGGGGGGCCCCTGCTCCAGAGGAGTTCTCTCAGGAACTGTCTAAATATCCACTGGGCAGGTGCACCCAACACTCTGTCACAGATGAATATTGACAGAGGTGAAGCCATAAGCCTGAGTCTTTCTAAAAACTCAGGACTGTTAGGTTTTCTTTTGAAGACTCATGATCCTACTGATACCTCCTTCCAAAACAACTCTGAAAAGATGTAGGTTAAGTATTCTTCAAAACTATCAAGGTCTGCGGTGCCTGGGTGTCTCAGGTTAAGTGTCCAACTCTTGACTTTGGTTCAGGTCATGATCTCAGGATTTGTGAGATCAATCCCCACCTCTGTGCTGATAGCACGGACCCTGCTTAGGATTCTCTCTCTCCCTCTCCCTCTACCTCTCCCTCTGCCCCCCTCTCTCTCTCTTTCTCTCTCTCAAAACAAATAAACTTAAAAAAAATTAAAAACTCTTAAGGTCATCAAAGACAAGGAAAATCAACTGTCACTGCCACGAAGAACCTAAGGTAACATGACACCTAAATGTAATGTATCTTGAAAGGGACCCTAGAATAGAAAAAAGACATCAAGTAGAAACTAAGTATGGACTTTTAGTTAATAATAATGTGTCAAGATCAGTTCATTAATTGCAATAGATGTACCATACTAATGGAAGATGTTAATAGTAGGGGAAACTGGGTGTGGCTATGTTGGAACTCTTTGTATTCTGCACAATCATTGTACAAATTTGAAGAGGTTCTAAAATTAAAATTTTATTAGAGGAATGCCTTGGTGGCTTAGTTTGTTGAGCATCTAACTCTTGATTTCGGCTCAGGTCATATTCTCACGTTCCGTGGGGTTGGGCCCTGCATTGGGCTCTGCGCTGACAACATGGAGCCTGCTTAGGATTCTCTCTTCCTCTTTCTGCCCCTTCCCTGCTCACCAGCATGAGCGCTCTCTCTCTCTCAAAATAAATAAGCTCTAAAAAAAAGGTTTATTGAGAAAAGATGCAGGATAAAAGAGATGTAACAATATGACATAGCAAACTCATTGATAGCATTTTGTAAATAGAAAAGGTAAAAATATCTGAGTGGGCGTGAAGAATAGAAGTTTGGTGTCATCACCTCTGTGAGGGAGAAAAAACACACGACCATTACTGTAACCCATTGGTCTGAGTTTCCAGGAGGGACCGGCCACTGCTGCTGCTCTTCTAGGAAACTTGAGGACAGAAGGGACAGATTGCTCTCAGAGGTCACTGTGTAGGGTCAGATAGATGACTAGCTGCTCCAGAGTCTACACAGGCCGCACAAGGGAAAGGATGACTCTGGGAGGTGCAGCTACACTCTTTGCCCTTTGAGAACAGCTGTTATGTTCTTAATGCGCGACCTGTCCCTTGTTAGCACAACAGCCTTAGTGCTGTGCAGGATAACCAGTCCCTGTTGCCTGTGGCTCAAAGCCAAGTGTCCTTTCATTATACAACTGAAACGTTCAAGTTGTAGCCTGCAAAAACAATGCAGTCAAATACCGCCAGCCGCTCTTCCGATGTCTGAAACAGAGAAAAACTGCACTTCTTTTTATACTAAGATAGATAATATGCCCTACAAACAGGAGGGAAGCCATGCAGTTTATAAATTGCATCCTAAATTGGAAGCATCTTACCTATGTTAGGTCTGAAAATCATCCCGCTTCACTTCTCTAAACCCAAAAGTTCTTTGAAAAACACAAATGACATTTTTGTTTTATAGTTCCCAGAGAGAATGTATAGTGTCGTTCTGCCAGACCTCGGCCAATAAGAATATCGATGGCTGTGGCCGAAACATGAAAAGGACCACCATTGCCCCTCGCATATGTGCTTGTGGTAGACTGTCGCTTCTGTCTCCTCTGGTGGCAAACACACATGCCCAACTATGTCCAACTGCTGGAAGCATCCCCTTCCTGCTAGGCCCTTCCAGGAATAGGGGTCACCTGGGAAGCCTGGCTGCCCGCCCCTTGGTAAAGCGAGAGAGAGCAGAGCCACATGTGCTTTGCTCATTGGCTGGCTATGTTGGTCAGAGTTCAGGTGCAGAAAACATGATCCATTTTAGGTAGATTAAACACAGAGTGATTCATTATAGGATTTTAAGTGACTTTCAGAATCACTGGAGGGCTGAAGAAGAAAACTCTAGGCACAGCTTTTAGGAACAACTCCCCAAACCATATGGCAAACCCTCAGAATGGCTTCCACATTTGCCTTGATCGGGAAACTATCCCAAGTAGCTGCTGGGTGCAAAACCAGCCTCTTCAGCTCTAATTAGGAAGCCATCATTGCTGTGGCCAGTCTGCAGAACCGATACCTTATGTCTTGTTTCCTTCCATATGGCCCCATTCTAAATCAAAGCCTCCTGTGAGTACAAGGTGGTGGGTAGAACCTAAATCACATTTTGAACCTGAACTGCAAGGGACTATGGGATTTTTCCCCCCTGCTTTTCAGCCCCTGCACACTAGAAGGGGGTTTCAGGTAGATACTGGGGAATCTAAATGCTGTTATCTGCCACAGTCTGTCCCTGTAGCCACCCATGGATCCATGCATACTCCTCTGCTATCAGCAGAACCCACTCCCTCCCCCACAAGTTACTGCATCTCATTCAAAGCCCAGGATCTCTGGGTTTTGTGCAGCTGTCTTCATCAGGTCCAGATAGGGCTTCTGTAATCTACTGACCTATAAACAAAAAGACTACCTGTCTGTCCCAATATACAGTGCTTGCAAAGGAAAATAAAAAAACCCTCATTTAGAAAGGGAGAGCATAGGAAATGTCATTTTTGCATTAGCAGTCATCACTCCCATCAGGCA